GGAGGGCTGGACAAGGAGAAACTAGATGAGGTCAGAGGTGTGGTCAGGGCAGGTGGGCTTTAAGGGGGGATGCAGTCAGATTTGACCCTTGCTCTGAGTGACATGGGAGTTACAGGACAGTTTTCAGCAGAAGAGGGACATGATATGACTTCTCTTTTAAAAGGACGTTGCTGACTGCTAATGCTGAGAACAGAGCTGAGAGGCCAGGGATGAGGGAGGCGAAGGGGAAAATAGTGGGAAGCGAGTGCAGTATTCCAGGCTGGAGATGTCATTAGCTCGACTGGGGTGTGAGCCGGGGAGATAGTGGGATGTGAGGAGATTCTGGATGCATTTTAAGATAGACTCACAGCATTTGCCAATGGATTATATCTGTGGTTTGAGAAAGAAGAATCAAGGACACCCATGATTGTAAAATGAGTGAGTAGAAGGGTGGGGCTGCTATCAGCAGAGATGGGGAGACTCTGGCAGGAGTGTACTGAGGAGGGGGCATCCCAGGCACTCAGTGGAGGAGGTGTCTACTAGGAATGCAGGTGAGAGAGCCGGGGTGGCAGTTGGACAGACAACTCCAGAGTTTAGGAGAAAGGACTGGGCTGGAGAAGAGACTTAGAAGGTCATACCATATAAACTATACTTAAAATCTCAAGCATGGATGAGGGCACCAAGGCAGTGATTGTGGAAAAGAATGAGCGCAGGGAATGAACCCTGGACCTCCAATTTTAAGGGATCAGACCACACCCAGAGCAGACTGCACAGTTCTGATCCCACGCCTACAGGACACTTAGACGAGGACCGCCAATGTGCACAGGAATCACCTGGACATGGTGCTGAGATCCAGGAAGTCTGGAGTCAAGCAAGACATTCTGGATTAATGACAAGGCTGGAGCTCCTGCTGCTGGTCTCCAGATCACACTTGGAATAGAAAGAACATGTGGATCCCACATGTCTATGCATCAGCCTCGCCTGTAGGGCTTGTTATATAAATGATTCCTCGGTCTTGGGCATAGTACTGTGAGACATGGGTTCTAGAGAGTGGCCTGAGGATTTTGTAAGGCCCACCAGCAATCCTGTTGCTCAGCCAGATTGGGAACCACTGAGATCAGAGATCAGAGAGTGCCCAGGGTGGGTGGGTCGGGTGGGTTTTCAAACCTTGGTTAAAAGAGGATTTTTCTCACAGCAAAGAAGGGCAGGATGTACATCATCGATTATGAGATGTGATATTCCCTGCTGATCTCTCCACCATGGCATAGAGGACAGGTAGACAATTCAGGATGTGGCTCTCGCACAAAGAACACCTCTGAATGCTGCTCTCTGACACTGCTCCACACACTGATTTCTCACTCACTTCTTGGAGCAAACTATGGAAACCAAATTTCTCTAATGTACACAAAAAGTAGTATATCTGGTGTTGGGGGCTTATTTTATTGTGGGGAAGACCACAGAACCAGGATGGAAACCACACATTTAGGGAGAGAATCCACAGCCCACCCTGTCCGGTCCCTCCTAGGAACAACTGCCCCTGCTGCTGAGCACAGATGCCACTGCTCACAACTGTGACATCCTGGTGCTGGACACTGGACCCTAAGGCTAGGACAGATGTCACTGCTGTGCCTGGAAACTGGACATCACCACTGCCACTCAGCCACCTTTACTAAAATGCATTCTGCACAGTCCCAGCCTCTCTGTGTCGCCTCATACTGGCTCAGAGTCTGGCAGTGATATAGGAGTTAAGAAGAAATTATTTAGGCAGATAGCGAGGGTATGAAGACTCAGTAAGGTTTTCCTTTTATTGAAAAGCAGCCCCCAAATCATCTTCTTTTCTAACAAAGAGCATCCTGAAAAATCAAGCTTCAGACACAGACAAGCCAGCTAGGAACTCTCACTGGTGAATGCGGCAGCTGTGCCAATAGGAAAGGGACACCTGGGACTAGGCATGTTCGCATGGCGGCTCCATCCTCCCTTCTCTTTACCATCCACATGTACAATAAGGAGAAGACAACATGGCACCCACCTAGTGGAAAGGCCATTTGCATAACAGGATTAGGGTGGGATGATCAACCTTTCCCATGCACTATGTAAATGTCACACCTGGTCCAATCAACCTGTGGGCCCTACGTAAATCAGGCACCATCTCCTCAAGCCTGCCTGTAAAATCTGATGCACTCCCATTGCAGGCCAAAATTCCCTTTTGGGCGCTCCTCTACCTCACAAGAGACAGAGCTGTTCCCCATTGTCTTTCTTTTGCCTATTAAATCTCTGCTGCTAAATCACTCCCTGTGTGTCAGTGTCCTTCATCTTCTTGGCCCAAGACCACGAACCCCGAGTATTTACCCGAGACAATGACGCTCCTTCAGCAGGTGCTCATCTGACTGGTGGAGCCTAAGACTCATGTCTATGATCAACTACAGGGGTGACTGGAGGGTTGTACTCTCCTAGAAATGGTGGTGGTTTCTGTCTCCTCTCAAAACTTTGCATGTTGTAGGCTGGGCACAGTGGCTCATGACCATAGTCCCAGTACTTTCTGTGGCCAAGGCAGGTGGATCACCTGAAGTCAGGAGTTTGAGACCAACCTGGCCGACATAGTGAAACCCCATCTCTACTAATAATACAAAATTAGCCAGGCATAGTGGTGCATGCTGTAATCCCAGCTACTCAGGTGGGTGAGGCAGGAGAATCACTTCAGCCTAGGAGGCCAAGATTCCAGTGAGCAGAGATCATGCCATTGCACTCCAGCCTGGGCAATAAGAGTGAAACTCCACCATACACACACACACACACACACACACACACACACACACACACACACACACACACACATTACACATGTTGTAAACCAAAAATGAACTTCAAAGCCACCCCTCCCAACCATCTTAATGGACTCCCTCCTCAGCCAGGGCACCCAACAGTTCACCTGGAAGACTGGCTTAGGCCACCATGGGAAGCAGATGTTGAACATGCCTCATTATGCCCTCTTCCCTTTTGGAATTCAGGAAAAGCTGACCAGCATTCAACATCAACACAGACCTTAAGTCTGATCAGAAAGATTTCCAGCCTATTCTCTCTGAAGCCTGCCACCTGGAGGCCTCATCTGCATGATAAAATTTTGGTCTCCATAACCTCTTATCATAACCCAGACATTCCTTTCTATTGTCAGTCAGAACATTTTTAAATCTACCTATAAGCCAGAAGCACTAACCCCCAACCCCTGCTCACTTCAAGTTGTCCTGCCTTTCTGGACCAAACCAAGGTATATCTTAAATGTATTTGATTCATGACTCATATCTTCCTAAAATGTGTGAAACTAACCTGCACCCCAAACACCTTGAGCACATGTTCTCAGGACCTCCTGAAAGCAGTGTCATGGGCTGTGGTCACTCATATTTGGCTCAGAATAAATCTCTCCAATATTTTACAGAGTTTGAGTCTTTTCATAAACAGTGTGGACTTCTGATGCAATAAGATGGTTCAAGTGCTGGGTGTGAGGGGTGGGAAAAGAATGATAAATTTTAATTCTTGGAGCAGTGATCCAAGACAAGAACTTTATCTGGATCCTGGTAGGCACTCAGAGTGTCTGAATGAACCAGTGACAAATAAATAACATTTTTCCACCCATTCCCTTGAAAATAAGTTTTTACCTCAAGCGTTTTTCTATCCCAGTTTATACTCTAGATTATTGGAGTGGCATTGTGTGATGGTGAAATGATTATTCACACAACTTCCCTCCACATTGCTTCTTACTAGGATTTAAAACCCAGGTTTGTAAGATCTCAGAGGATCTGGGTGCACACTGATGTCTTACATTAACATTCATATGTTCTTGTGTGTGGAAATATTTCTGGGGAAAGAGTCTCTAACATTTATTAGTTTTCTTTGCTTGCTTGTTTGTTTTGAGACAGAGTCTCGCTCTGTCACCACGCTGGAGTGCAGTGGTGCGATCTTGGCTCACTGTAATCTTGGCCTCCTTGGTTCAAGCCATTCTCCTGCCTCAGCCTCTGGAGTAGCTAGGATTACAGGCGTGTGCCACCACACCCAGCTGATTTTTGTATTTTAAGCAGAGATGTGGTTTCACCATGTAGGCCAGGATGGTCTCGATCTTCTGACCTCATGATTTGCCTGCCTCAGCATCCCAAAGTGCTGGGATTATAGGTGGGAGCCACCGTGCCTGGCCACATTTATTAGTTTTGATGTGACCTCTCAGAGGCCTAAAAGAAAACCCTAACTTCTAGGTTAGAAGTAGAGCCATTCCACATCTGGACAACGAACAGCTGGTAGCAACCTGTCTTTAGCCCTTAGGACATGAAACAAATGCTTACATTTTGTTTATTTTTTCCTCTGGGACCGAAGAAAGTAGCGGTTTACTCGCTTACTCTTAGTATAAGTTTCTCTCTGTAGGATAGTGATGGGGTTTTCCTCCATCCAAATAACTTTCCGATTCTCCAACAACTGCTGGGAGTCCTAGAATTCGACTCAATTCTGACACTAACTACCTGGAGTTCGCCTCAGACTCCACAGGTTTAAGGGCTCAGTCCCACAAGACTGTCCTCACTTCAGATGCAAGTCACAAGCATCGGGTCCCAGGTCACCTGCACTTCTGTCTAACATGGCTGCAGAGTCAGTGGTATCTCACCTCCCAAGGTTTGGGAATTCTTGAACTAACTAAAAGAACTCAGGAAGTTGCTATTGTCATGCAAACGAAAACACATCTGAGACAGTTCTCAATCACTTTAGAAGTTTATTTTCCCGAACTGAAAGTGCACCTTGGAAAGAGACACACAAATCATTGTAGCATCTGTGGCCCATGCTTTTTCCTAAGAGGGCTTTGAGGGCTGTAGTATTTACAGGGGAAAAGCAGGCAGGAGAGGAAGAAGGAACAGTCAACTATGCTTTCATCTCATGTTTAGTAAATCTGCATTTTACACAAGATAAAGTAAACATTGGGTAGAGAGTTCAAATATGCGCTTATCTCTGGGTGGGTGGAGGGATGATTCCTAGTCTTGTCTTTGTCCTAACCCTCTGAAGATAAGCTGTCAATTTACATTGTCGGGGGAAATTGAACAAAACTCTGTTTCAGAATAAAGATGTTGGAGCCCACAAGGAGTTATTCGGTGAGCAATTTGTGAGGGAGGCCACCTGGGGAGATATGTGGTCTTCTATCTTTGCGGTTATTTGCTTAGGCACAAAAGAAAGGCAGTTTTTCCATCACTCAGTTTCCAAACTTAACTTTTCCCTTTCTAGAGTGAGTTTGGAGTTCTGAAATTTTAGTTTCCTTTCACACTCAGTATTGCAGCTTATTATTCTTGTATCTTAAATCAGTGGTCCCCACCTTTTTGGCACCAGGGACCAGTTTCATGGAAGACAATTTTTCCACAGACCAGCAGAGGTGGCAGGCAGTGGAGGGGAATGGTTTCAGATGAAACTGAGACCACCTCAGATGATCAGGCATTAGTGTTTCATAAGGAGCATGCAACCTAGAGCCCTCTCATGCAGAGTTCACAATAGGGTTCATGCTTCTATGAGAATCAAATTCCGCCACTCATCTGACAGCAGGCAGAGCTCCTGTGGTCATGCTCCTGCTCTCCTGCCCACCAATCACCTCCTGCTGTGCGATCTGGTTTCTACCAGGCCAGGAACCTGTTCCAGTCCACAGCCTGGGGCTTAGGGACTCCTGGCTTAAATTATGTGACTATAGCAGAACACTTGAGACTGGATAACTTATAACAAACAGAAATGTATTTGATTATGGTTGTTGAGGATGGGAATTTCAAGATCAAGGGATTGTATCTGATATAAAGCAAAAGGGCAGGAGAGGGTGAGAGGTTGAGGGAAAAGAGGTTAAATTCACAGCCTCCAGTCCTTTGATGATCAGACTTAATCCATTAATGAGGCCAGAGCTCTGATGATCCAATCACCTCTCAAAGGTTCCACCTCTTAAAAATGTTGTATTGGGGATGAATTATCCAACAGATGCTTTTCTGGGGAAACATTCAAACCATAGCAGTGATAAAGGTTACAAATGAGCATCCAGATGAAGAGGTGCACTGGGTGAGGTCTGGAAGGGCTCTGAGCACAGGAGCGTCTGTCCCCATGGAGACGGGGTGCACCATCCTCCCAGCACATGGACACACAGATGTGCCCACCAATTGGGAAGCTCTCCAAAACCCACTTTCTAGAAGTTCCTATGGAACTTTCATTGTGTAAGCAAGATTAATTAAACCACCAGCCATTGGTGATTGAACTCAACCTCCAGCCCCTCTTTCCTTCCCAGGCGTTAGAGATGGGGCTGAAAGTTCCAGTCCTCTAATCACAGCTGCATGTTTCTGACAACCAGCTCCCATCCTGAAGCTATCTAGGAGCTCCTCAGTCCATAGTCATCTCATTGCCATATTAAAGTCATGCTTACCACTGAGGAAATTGCAAATGTTTTAGAACCTGCTTATCAGGAAACAGGGACAAAGACCAAATATTTTTATTGGACCACAGATCACACCCTGGTCTTTGATCACATTATATCTTTTTATTATTTTTATTTCTTTATTTCAGAGACAAGGTCTTGCTCTGTTGCTCAGCGTAGAATGCAGTGGCACAATCATAGCTCACTGTAACCTTGAATTTCTGGGCTCAAGTGATCCTTCTGCCTCAGCCTCCAGAGTAGATAGCATTACAGGTGCATACCACTGTCCCAACTCATTTTTTTTTAATAGAGTTGGGGTTTCACTG